CCTGTGGGACACCACATTGTATGTTCATGTATGGCGATGTAATGTGTAATGAAAACTGACTGTTGGCGGTGGGAGAGGTAGTTTTGAAACCAGTTTAATGGAAGGCCTCTGATACCATGTTTTAATTTATTCAATAAGATATCATGATTAATAGTATCAAAGGCCTTTTTGAGGTCAATAAATACCCCAAAAGTAAGAAACCCATTATCGAGCTGCTCACCTATATCAGAGACCAGGTCTGCCAGGGCTAGTTTAGTACTACAATTTTTCCGAAATCCAAATTGTGTATCTAAAAATATATGTTTTGTTTCTAGGTAATTTATAAATTGCTTTTTAACAATTGATTCGATAATTTTACTGAAAATGGGGAGAATTGAAATTGGTCTGTAGCTGCTGGCTTCAGTGGTGGCCCCCTTTTTATAAATTGGGATTATTTTGGCTATTTTAAGTGCATCTGGAAATATTCCTTGGCTCAGTGAACAATTGATAATGTGGGTTAACGGGCGAGAGATAACATTTGCAGCGGGTATGACTAATTTGGGATGGATTTTGTCAACACCAACAAATTTACGCAGGTCTAAACGTTTAATTTCATTCGACACATCTTGCTCACAGACTGGATGGAAAAAGAAAGAATTAGGGTAATTACCATCTAGGTACTTTGCATAATTGCTGCCAGATGTTATTTTCGAGGCAAGATTGGAGCCAATGTTAGTAAAGAACTTGTTAAATTCTTCCGCAATATCAGAATTATTTGTTAAAGGGGGCTTGTTAGGATTACTTGAATGTAAGATACGGGGTATTTATTTGCTTGGTGTTTTGTTAAGTATATCATTGATCACTTGCCATGTTTTGTTTGAGTTACCTTGGGCCAATCGTACTCTATTTGAATAATGACGTTTTTTTGCTGACTTCGTGAGTTTTAACAGAATATTTTATAGGTTTTGTATTTAGTTTTATAATACTCACTGCGTGGATTATTTTTCATTTTTGAAAACAACTAATGTTTTGTGCGGACTGACTTGGTAAGTCCATAAGACATCCATTATATTTTTTGAAATCATAGCTTTCAACTGTATTTTTTAAATTTAGCTTATGTTTGAGGTGATTAATAACAGAAAAGATTGGATAATGATCAGTGATATCAGATTGAATTGTACCACAAATACTCGGTAATATTTGTAAGACAGTGATCAATGATTGTAGCCGAAATGTCCGAAACTCTTGTGGGAGTGTTAATAATCTGACCGAAATTATAGGAATTTAGAGTAATTTTGTACTAAAGGGCGGGGGTCTACGGAAGCCCTAAGAAATGAAAACGATGCTCTACAGTGTTGAGGAATGATATAAACTCGTCATAATGTTTAAATAGCGATCTGGCGTTTAAGTGTAAAAATGAAAACGAATTTTGACAGAAAATAGTACTTAAATTGAACTGGTCAACAGAGTTGGAGTCATAAGTAGTCTATATCCATTATATGTACAGGTGAGATTCACCAGATACGCATGGTAATATCATCGAGTTTATCTATGCGTATGGCTGGGCTTCTTTCCTTGTGTAGATCTTGCCGTTGGTGGTCCAAATGAATTTTCATCTTTTTTCGTTTCGACGTTGGTTTGCCTCATAAAAAATCTGTTTATTTGTTGGTGTTAAATTTTCATTGATGTAGATTCGGTTGTTGCTTGCAAATCCAATATTGCAGGCAGATATGTTCTACAGATGTTTTCTTTACTTATATAACTCAGTGCGGATGGTCCATCTTACAAATTTGACAATAATTGGTGTCCGCTGGTGATTACAGCTGTTGGATCGACGGGGTAAGCGATGGGATATGTCAATATCGTTAGGTGATATAGTGACACTAATTTATAAGTGTTCTGCAGATATATTGAGTACCACAAGGTGCTTTTGAATAATCTACAGATTTGTTTACTTCAGAGTTGAAATCGATGCAATTGTTTACCTAGTTTGTCACAATGGTTTCATGTAACCTCAGTAATATGTATAACTGTAATAACCGTAGGGACATGCAACTAGTGTTATAAAGGTGTATGGCTCAAATATCAGTAGTATTATATATGGTCAACCACTTGAAACCACCCTGATCACTGCTTGCCGTCATATATTTATTAAATGCTGTATTTGCTCTATTAGAAGCACAGTAGCACAAATGTAAATGACAAAAGCATGTCTTTGGTCTAATTATAACATATATCAAAGACGTTGCATGCAATAAACACAATTTTGCTTCATATGTATTGAAGATGTTCTTCTAATTAAATAAATACAGTATTCATTATTCGTACTTCATGCCTCAAATATCTTAGAATAGCACATGGTGGTTCTTTCTAAATTTTCTTTGATTTTATGTTGTCTCCAACACCGTAAGCTAGATTAGTATTCTGCTTTTCATGCATAAACCTTGCCAGCAATGTCTAGTTTTAGTAAATAATTTGGTAATTGTTGGTTTCAACTTCATCCTGAAATACGTTGAGTTTTTTAGAAATGCACTTTTCAAGAAGTTCCGCGTTGTTTCTGTTGAATATTTGGCATATTTAGCAAGAATACAATCAAATGTATATCATTTCGTTCTAATAATTTGGGTTGTTCTGTTATTTGACATGATCGATTCTGTAGATCAAAATTCTTTCAGATTATGGATATATGAACCGACAGGGTTTTTATACTTATTTATATCAGCTATCAGTTCGAATTTTTGAAAAATATAAGTTTTCAAAATTTTTATTAATTTATTACTTGATAAAGTCCGTGGGTAAGCCTGATTTTTGTTGTTAGTATCATGTAAAGACGTTAGAAATATTTAAATAATTCTTAAAATATCATTTAAACCAATATTCTATTGTAATTTCTGTATAGTATCTGTGCTCAAACGCAAACACAAATGTTGATGCCGAATTATATCCCACCAAAGTAAATAAAAATCAAATAAAGGTCCTGTATGACTAATATATACTGATATCAACTCTTAGATTAATAAACCTGTTTTCAAATCATACATTGATAATATCTCTTTTATTATCTTGTTGTAACTGCACAACACGTCGGCACAGAAGTTCATACAAAGCATTTATCGGACTGACCCTGAGGCACACGATTGCGTGTTTGTACTGCGGTTACTTTGAAGTACCGTGGGTATACAATGCGTGCTGTGTAAAGGTGAGACGACAGGAGAAATAAGCAGGTGTCGCAACCTATGGCCACAATATCATGCACAAATCTATTACAATATCTTTACAAGTGTTAGATACTGGGTTTCCTCTGCACATCGCTGATCATATAATTTCGATTATCATTGTCTTATATGCTTATTTTTCTAAGAACTAATTGATAAGTTAATACAAAGTTTTCGTAATATGGGTTGCCTATGTTCTATGTGTATGTTCTATATATTTCAATGACCGCTTGAAACAGATTGAGCGCCCCCCCAAATAGTCCATAGACTAGGTTTTTTGGTGTTTAATTCTAAGGTGTACTCATTGAACAAAAATCAATTAAAACAGTTTGCCGTTGAGTTATATATCACAAGTATATATTCCTGAGTCATATCAGCGAAACAAATAAGTTGCAGTTACGTTTGCATTATAAGTGTCTACTCTAGCACATCGTGATTTAGAATGCAGGCCCAGTAAACTATTGAATTCGAAAACCAGATATACTTTATAATTGCAGTTTTAAATAAACGATTCAGACTAAATGGACGCAGAACATTTTAAAATAACTGAAAACAGTCAGTTACAGTTATGCGGATGGGCAAAACAGTTGCGGCGCTGAGAGAACTCGAGGTGAGACAGTTACAATAGTACCTTCACAAGGTCGCCCTTGCCCGACGTATGCCTTCTGTTATAATGTAAATATGCGTAATTCGTATCTTACCTTTTGATGGGGTTGCCTTAACCTCAGCCAAATAAAAAGCTAGGCCCAAGATGAAAAGAAAATTTTTCAACGGAAGATGAGTTTTACAAACGTTCATGTTCGCGACTGAATAGCATATGGTAATCAGAGTTTTAAACGCTCAAGAGAAAAAATATTAACAAATAATTAATCCAGCAAGTTGTTCATATACTCGACCATTTAATGATGCAACCGATATTTAGTTGGTTCAAAATCCTTTAACTGGGTTACTTACGTGGTACTATATTTTGACAGTGAAAATGGCAGTTGATTATGCCCATGTTTCACTCTTTAGTAAGCTCTATTTTAAATTTCATGAAACTTTTTTTCCACGCAAATAGTTACAAATTTAAGGTCTATTATTGCCAACAGTTTAGTTAATTTGGAAAGCAGTTGTGTCTGGGTTCTGTATAGTTTAGTTTTCTTACAATTAGTTTTCAAAATTGTTGAAAGAATTTAACCAATCGGTTTCTATGGGAATCTCAGAACACGTTTTGCCTTGTCCAGGATCTACAATCACATTTGAATTTTCTACAGTAGTGGTAAAAATAAACCTGACGCAATAGTTATTTTGCAAACAAACAGACAACCAGCCTAAAACACGGAGGCCAATATTAGTCCAGTAAACATCGTTGGACAACTTTTTTTTTATTGTCTAGTAGTTTTAGTGACCTTACTGCTATTCTTTTGAAAGTCGGTGTTGTGTTAATAAATAGGTAAATAAATAAATATGTAAGCATTTGAGCTGTTAAATTGAGCGTCTAAAGGAATGTGCTTAACATAACCATAGATTACAATGCAACAGTTAAATATACAACACCACTGAAACTTATTAATAATGTTTAGGTCAAATTGGTCAAAAACCCCCGGGTCATGGACATTCGACATATTAGTTGAACGATCGAATCTATTGGTTTTACAATTGTTACATTATTTGCATAGACATCAATCATAAACATTTGTGATTTTACCAGTACAAAATATTAAAAACTGTCTAAAAAATAACAATTTTGAAACAATCTCTAAGGAAATCTAATGCTGAAGCATTATTTTATAAACGTAAATATTAAATGCCAAAATACTTCATTACAACTACAAGTATATTTCATTATGTATCCACTATATCTAGTCTAAACCATTTCGCCAAACATTCAATACCAATGCTCTGAATGTTTGAAAAAAATGTCTGTGCAAAAGATGTTGATCATCTAATAATATACAATCACATTGTAAATCTCAAGGCAGTCTTGATATCTGTTTCGTCAAAATATCCATTGCAACATATGACCATTCATTATATTGAAAATCAGGAAATTAAAACTACCACATAATGTGGTACAGATTAAGGAAATAATTATAGACTAGTAGGGTAACTATTCAAATTGCATATATGATTGATATAATAAATATGATTGAAATTATGATTGTCATCAGGCCAAGTCCAACATTGGACTCCCATTAACTTAGCGGGAAGGTTGATTTTTGAATAATTAATTATTTGTATGTTATCTCATTCCACACCATTTACCATGAATTGTTTGAAACCCTACAGGAACATATTAGATAGTTATTTGTTACCATAAGCGTCACGTGACAGACTAGTTGTCAGCTAATGTCGAATAGATTAAACCCGCGATTTGCAGAGAGCGGTATTTTGGGCTTAAAGTTTTGGTTACACTCATTGTTCTATATCATATATATACGCATCGACTGTTTTAAAAACCTGTTTTCAAACGTATACAGAGAAGCTTAATTCGCCACTAGTTAAAACATTTTTAGGCCATTATTCTGGTGACAAAACCCAGTCATATTCACACCGCTCACTGTCTTGCTATTCATCGTCACTAATGTAGTAAATTGACGTTGGTTCTAGTGAGATAGTTTCATTAATTATTCAAAGTTGAAAGAAAAAGGAAAAAGTGTAACAACTACTTAACATGAATGATTGTTTTCTATATTACAACAAAATACTTATAAATGTTAAAATTATTGGCGAGTTTTACAATTACTCAGCAACATATTAAATTATGTTGTTAGGAGGGTAATTTCAGACCGAGTAGTGCAAATTTGGAAAAACTTTTGTGTGTGTTTCCAGTGATATGTTAGTCTCCAAAAGGATTTAATGTCAAATATTACTGTTCAAAGGATATCACTGAATGTTTACAGATAAGCTATAGTTCAAGTGCATTTGATAAGACACAATAAACAATCAAATATACACTTTAAATGCAAACATCGTCAAAGACAGACATTAGGCAAAAACCTAGCAGTGCTTGTTTGTTTAATTGAGTAGGATTCCAACGAAATTTTTATTTTAAAATCTAAGCATTCATAAATCCATAATGAAAATGTCATTGTATACAGAGGGGTGGGAAGATGTTCACCCACCTAAACAAAGAACATGACTATATGGAATTAAATTTGTTGATTGATTGTTGGAGGTAATTATTATGACATTCAATGACGATGGCCATGCAATATTTAAAATAACTTGCAGATTTGTATATCTATCATGAGTTTAAAGAGAAGTATTAAAAATAAAAATTATTTCCCTTTCTATCACATTAAAAACTGAAACTTTAGACACGATGTTGTTATATCTCATATTGATTTAACCTGTGACAAGTCACGTGACGACGTTGTTGAATTGTATGTATTGATAAGATAAGCCGTGGGAAAAGCAGGGATGTGTGATACGCTGAATGGCATGACTTATCGATAAATAAAGGGACACATCGACCTTGAAGCACGCACGTTTCAACATACACTACTAGATTGTTGTTTTCTTCATAGTACGTCATTCCATGAAGATTCAACCAAGCTGTACACAACGAGCACTATTAGGAAGCGTGTCTTTGGTACATATTTATGACTTTTGCAACTCCCCATCGACATGCGGCATTGTTGGTTTGGTTTATGTGAAAATGTATAGATATCCTGTATAATTAGATTTCATACAATCTCCATTAATGTAAATGTAAGAATTTAAAAACAGGTATATTTTCCTTTTATGGCCAATGAATTCATTACCGAGAATTTTGAAAAAAATGTATGAGTTGTATGTTTGTTTGAATCAAATGGTAAACAGCATCATCACATATGATGAAAGTCCATAAAATAAACCAGATTCAACTACTATAACAATCCTATTAGCAATATGGGAATAGTTAACCTAGTTGACTACTCACTCAAAATGTATCAGTCCGCCATTACAAAAGCAGTCGCTTTTTGCCAACATTCCGCTCAAAAATATTATTCTGACATCATGTAAAATAAAACAGTTTAAAATGCGACCATTTGCAAAACGGTGTTTCAAGACAGAGAATTACATTAACAGGTTTCTATGTGACCGGGTAGTCGTGATTAAGTTATTTCCAGCAATGTTTGCAATATCGATTCGCATGAACAATTTTGAATAAAGATGTAATTTAATGTGACGACAAATTGTACTGAATTGCATTCTGATTGGATATACATGTATGGTGATGTTCTATTAAGACGAGAAAAAAAAACATTTTATTTTAAATTATGTTTCATTGTTTGTTCCCAATAAAATTTAAATTTATATTTTCTTCCATCGCAGGATCTTTTAATCTTTTAGCAGTTAGTGAATGCACTGACTGCCTCCTAATTTATTCCGTTCCAACTTTCACTCACCATCCAGCACTATACATGCAACGAAATTTATCTTTTAAAATTTAGC